TCTAAGACGTAACCATTCACGTGTGGGCCACATACCCCTGAGTGTACCTCATTCATAATTGTTTCCGCCTCTTGAGTATTCACACATCGTAATAAATTCAAATTTGGAGTCCTTTTATATAAGATATCGCTACTTAAGAAGAACCCATTGGCGAGTCGCCTAATAGCTCTTTTTTGATCTCTATCAGCTTGCAGTGGATATTCTCTAGCTTTTATAAACTGTTTTATGTCGTGATACCAAGGCTCACCATTTGCCTCTACCGCAATTATATTGCAATAACCATGTTGATCCCTAACTTGGATTTCCAACAGGTCAATGTAGGTATTACCTGGGTATGGAAGCATCGATGCTAGGGTGGCCAAAGCATCAGCCAACTCATTGTGAAACCTGGGAATATATCTAAATTCAATGGACTTGAACTTTTTGATGAGATTTTCTAAACATTGTTTGTACGGTATGAGCTTAATGTCTCGAGTTTCTCGTTCGCCTCGAGCTTGTCGAATGAGCAAGTCCGAATCCCCCAAGACTAAGAGCTCATGTACATCCAGATTTATTGCCATATTCAAACCCATTATGCAAGCTTCGTATTTTGTTGTGTTGTTGGTAGAAAAGAATCGAAGTCGTGCTGTGGCTTGTCTAAATAAATCTCCTCCCTCTCTACATTTAGTCAAAGCACGATAAAAATCTGCCAACATCATCGACAATATAGTGAATTTTCTTTTCTTCATCATAATAGTGACTATTCCTCACAGATGAATTTCGATTTTTTTATCCTTCTTTGGAAAAACCATAGCTCCCAAGAATGCCACCGTGAATGTTTCTTGTCTAATGTTTTTCTCAAGTAGGGAGGTGTTGTCCATTTTTAAGTTGTTTCCCATAGCTTGAAAATCCTTCCTTCTTTCCATATCTTGAGTACAAGAATTCCAAAGAAACCAACCCATTATCAAAACACTCCTTATGAGGATGGATGATGTGCATCTGTTCTAGAAATTCACTTTCGCTGACACTCCTAGGGGCTATCAGTGTTTTAGTTCGAAGATCTTAGCCTAAACCTGTGAAACTACTCAATTCTTCTTATGTAGGCGTCAACTCAAAATCACTAAACCGAAACACATTGTTTGTGGAATCCCAAAACGAGATCAAAGCCTCGATCAAACCTTTATCAGGACTAAATCTCATGATATTTGTAAGGAAACCAAAATGTTTGAATATCTCGGTCCACCTAAATTCATGCATATCGTTCCACCAATCCATTAGTAATTGTGGGGTTTTATCTGTGATCATATATATATATATATATATATATATTATTTGTTATTTTTTGTCATATAAATATAAGATTATATTTACTCCAATGTTTTTTACTAAGAAAATTGATTCCTTTGTGGCATCTTGAACACTCCTTTTGGTAACAAAGTAGGAACCACTTTAACACTCCTTTTTGGTAACAAAGTAGGAGCCACTCATAGTGCACTCTTATGCCCTAGTGTGTGTCTATATATATATATATATATATTATTTGTTATTTTTTGTCATATAAATATAAGATTATATTTACTCCCAATGTTTTTGACTAAGAAAATTGATTCCTTCGTGGCATCTTAAACACTCCTTTTGGTAACAAAGTAGGAACCGCTTTAACACTCCTTTTTGGTAACAAAGTAGGAGCCACTCTCATAGTGCACTCTTATGCCCTAGTATATATATAAATATATATATATATATATATATATATATATATATATATATCCGCCGCTAGTCACATCTATTATTACATCTCAAGTTACTTCATCAGTTAGTCGATTTATGGTGTCTTCAGTCTGATTTTTGATTCCTCCGTTTGTTTGAGGCGTTGAATCAGTGTAAGTAAGGTATTAATATGGTAATGGATTTCTATTTCTTTTGTTGTTTTTTTCTATTTCGCATGTTATATTTGCATTCATTAAATTAATTATTTTATGTGAATCTTTTTGTCAGTTTTTAACATCGGTATTTTGTAAGAGGAAGGGTTGTATATAGCTCTAAATTTTGAATTTAGAATACCCTCAAAGTTTGAGGGTTTTTTATTCATGTTCCCAAGCTTCTTTTTTAAATTTTTTTAGTTTATGAGATTAATTTAAATTTAAAAGATGATGTCTTTTTGATGTGTAGAGAATTTTTGGTTCAGAATATAGCAATCGATAAAAGAAGGAAAATGTTGATTTTGTGATGAATCAACAATCTATATACCTAAGTTTTTTTGTGGACTTTTGACTCTGTTGTAATTATAGATCCCACAAAGTTATATTGTGCCTTATCCCATTAAATTATTTTGTTTATTTGAGCTTATCTTGTATCAATAATAATGACATTATATGCTGAAAGTTGTCTGCATATTTTTGAGGTGTCAATGGTAATGGAAATAGAGAGATTTAGTAGATTCAAAACCACTAGTTCTTGATTAAATGAGTTAATTAGCTGATATAATTGTTATAATATAAGATCTGCATGATAAATTGTCAAAAAAGAAGGAAAAACGATGGGCCTAATTATAATCAAGTTCAAGAGCTTGTAGCCTAGGTATCATTCCAATCTTTTGTATTTTTTAAAATGTTTATATTAATTTCAATTTTGATAATTTGTTTGTCCCTTTGGTCGCAGTGCTTTCAAAGATAATCCACATCCCGACGAAAATGCAATAATGAATAAAACCACTGCTACCAAAGGGAGAGATAAAAATTGAAACTAATACAACCAAATTTTAAAAAATACAAAATATTGAAGAGATACTTACTCTTCAAGTTCTTGAACTTGGTAAGCATTGTATTTTCTTCTTATTGATGATTTATCATGCCGAGGATTCATATCCAATTTTTAATTTTTCACTAATAAACTCGCTCTCATTTCAAACATTATTCGAACATTTTCTCACCCACGTCTTTGTAATTCTTCTTCGACAGTTAATTCTCAGGGTTAATTAATTGAGTTTTTTCCTACTCTTTTAATTTTTATACTACATCATTTTTAGCCTATTGTGAGGAACTATAACCGTTTCTAAGACTCAAACTCTTCTTATACGTTCATTCTCTCAAAACCCTCAAGTCTTCTCCAAGTTTCTCTCTCTCAAGGGAAATCAATGAATCCTCAAGCTTCAAGTGTAACATCACATAAATTTCTAAGCTAATGCTCAAACAATTATTCATTTGCGTGTAAGGTCGTATGAGGTTATTTTTAAATTATTCTTAGGTGTTAATGTCAATTCTTTAGTATTGGAATTGATCTGAATATGAATTACGGTAACAAGAATATCCTAACACAAAGTCGAGTTGAAAGCTTCTAACCAATCGAATTTTGAAATAAAATTCTGCTTAAGTCAACTACAGTGGCTCTTGACCTACCAAATTGAAGTTTTTTGAGTCCTCGGTCAATTGGAAAAGACATTGGGAAAGAACTATATGTTGAACAAAATAAAATTGAGCAAGTAGCTAAGAGACTCTGCTGGAAAAAAGTTTGTTGAGAAGAATGATATCGCAATATGGCAGAAGCTAATCAATCAATTTCGAAAGAGAAACAAAAACCCACCAATGTGTCAGATTCTGATATAGCCTGGTCGTGCTCCTTTTGATTTATCGTCACATATGGTATTATCCTACAATCCGAATTCTCTTAGGACTGATTACTTCATGTCGATTTGATATTTGCAGGTATACAAAGATTGAGACTTGCTTAACTCCCTTGCCAGAAGTTGCAGGTGAAGAAGAGGTGGCAAGTAGACAGTTGGAAAAGTGGCCTAAAAGATTAGTCGCAATACCACCGAGGATAAGCAGGGGAACTGTAGATGGAGTTACAGAAGAAGTTTTCCAGAAGGATTTAGAGCTATGGAAAAGAAGAGTTTCTTATTAATAGTCAGTGAATAACCAGCTTGACCAGCATGGGCGATACAGAAACATCTTAGATATGAATGCATTCCTAGGTGGCTTTGCAGTAAATTTTGTCAATGATCCTGTTTGGGTGATAAATATAGTTCCCGTTGAGGCTAAGGTCAATACAGTTGGTGCCATTTATGAACGAGGACTAATCAGAACATACTAGAGCTGGTAATTACTATGCTACCTTCACATTTCCCCCCTAACTCCCCCAGTAAATGGCAGCATTATGATTTTAGGTCGACTATATCTATGTGCGCCAAAAAACTAGTACTATTGACAGACTTAGATGTACATTTCAGCACATACGCTCTGTATTCAGAACTCATATGGTCTAAATTCTGGATATACCTACCTACCCCTAGTAGTTTTGCTTTTGTGATGAATATTAATTTTTTTTCAAGGTGCGAGGCTATGATCTCCAAGTTGATGTTCTTTACCTTCTTGGATATGGAAGGCTCAAAATTACTTTTGTTGATTGTGTAACAGATGTGAAATGGAAGATATTATGATAGGATATTAAGGCCAGAGGGAAGTGTAATAATCCGAGACGACGTGGATATATTGATCAGAGTGAAAAGGATAGCGGATGGATTGATCATGAAGATGGTCCATTGGAGAGGGAGAAGCTTTTCTTTGCAGTAATGACATACTCGACAGCTCCAGCTACTCAACCATCTAAAACTACTTAAACCATCGTTGTTGTAATCTTTTTTTTTTTTGGTTCATCCTCGCTTACTTGTATTCTTTCACTTGTTAAACTGTAGTAGTAGTAATATTACTTGCAAATTGTAAACTCTAGGTTTTAGTGATTCTTCTGCAATTCCAATGAAGTCATGAGTTCTGTGCTAACTTTATCTAATCCCAACAGATGCATGTTTCCTATTTTTAACTTCAAATCAAAATATCAAGTAACATCTAACTGAGAAACACGTGTGTACCATTTTCATGATTTTGTACTAGTTAAGTTAATTCTTTTTACTTTTTGTATTATTTAGGTCAAAATTTATGGAAAATGTGTTCCTTGCATAATAACCATATTAGACCAATTGATACTATGTCATGGTCTAACTAAACATTGCAGGCCAAACTAAAAGACAATAAAGCTGAGTTGCACAAAACATCGAATTAGGTCCTTCATGCAGATGAGTTGATCTTCGTATGCTCCACATTTTTGCTTACCTTAGTACTATATATACAGAATCCTAATTAACAAGAACAAACAACTCAGCTGCATAAACTGAAAACAATCATATTATGGCAGATCTGAAATCCGTTCTTTCCCAAGTGCTTTTGAGTATCCTTATAACTATATTGCTGCAAAGGCAAGTAATTGAATCTCAGGGTCAGCCGCAGACATGCTTAGCATCACTTGGGAACCTGAACGTCTGCTCCCCATTTGTGTTACCAGGAACATCTAATACGACTCCTACCACAGAGTGTTGTGCTGCCCTCCAATCACTGGATCATGAGTGCATATGCAATACTGTTCGTGTTGCTGCCCGCCTTCCTTCTCACTGCAACCTTCCTCCCATCTCTTGTACTCGTCATCACTAGTCATTTTAGCAAATTGAATATGTTCCAAAGAAGTGTTTGTTCAAGTAGTGGAGTGTGAGTTTCAACTTTCAAGAAATAATCATATGTTAGGAAAATTAGGATTTTTTGGTGGTGTGATTTTTCTGTTAGTATAGTCAAATTCCTGGCAACACATAGATGTTTTTGTTGATTTTTTCTGCTATTTCTCTCAGGACTGAGAGGTAGTACTTGATATGTGAGTTCAGAAAAAAAAAAGGAAGCCGAGAAACATTATATATTATATATTCTAATAAATTAAGATGAAATAAATCTAACTGCGCAGTAAAAAGTACAAAAAAAGCGCTAAAACGAATAATAAACTAGTGAGTGCTTTACATGCCAAACTGGGAAATGCCAAACGAATAATCCTATTGTAAGCCTGCAGATTCATGTACAAACAAGATTATTTGGTCAGGTCCATCATCATCCTATCGGAAATACCAAATTTGTTGACACCAATATATAGTAAATAGTACTTAGACTGACCCTTTAACCAGTAGAATCAGAGAAAGCAGTCCATAGACATTTAGGTAGGTCTTATATTTGGAGTAGACAATGATCAACAACTGGAAGATTCTGATCATTTTCTGCCCGCCCTACATGAGGAGGCACAAGCAGAATAAATACGAGGAGAAGTCCAGTCACATCTTGTTCTTTTTTAATAAGAACAGAGTATTGTCTATTTTTTTCTCTTTTGAAACTATTCTTCAGCAGGAACTTTGACAGCCTTTCATACCATGCTCTAGGAGCCTGTTTCAAGCCATACAGAGCCTTATTCAATCTGAACACATGATCTGGTAGCTCAACATTTTCAAACCCAGGAGGTTGTTTGACAAATACCTACTCTTTCAGATCTCCATTTAGAAATGCACTTTTGACATCCATTTGATACAACTTGAACCCCATGAATGCAGCAAAAGGTATTAAAATTCTAATGGCCTCCATCCTGGCAACAGGTGCAAAAGTCTCATCATAGTCTATTCCTTCTTCTTGATTGTATCCTTGAACCACCAACCTGGATTTGTTTCTAGTGATCACTCCATTTTCATCAAGCTTGTTTCTGAAAATCCATCTGGTTCCTATTACTGTTCTACCTGCAGGTCGAGGAACCAGGTACCATACCTTGCTTCTTTCAAACTGATGAAGTTCTTCTTGCATTGAGTTGATCCAATATGCATCACTTAATGCCTCTTTCACATTTTTGAGCTCAATAGATGATATGAATGCTGAAAATGCAACTAGATTTCTTGTTTTTGATCTAGTGTGAATTCCAGATTTCGAAGGAGAGATAAGATTATCAAGAGGATGTGATGAACTATGTTTCCATCCTGGTCTTAAAGCAGACTGGTTGAGCTGATCAACATGTTCTTCTTCATTAAGGGTGTCATCATTTTCTGGGGAGTTTGATGTACTCTGAATGGAATTCTGAATAGTACCAGGTACCTCATCACACTTTTCCACTTCATCAGCCTTTTCAGGTAGATTATGATTATGATTATCATAGTCATTTTTCAACTGTTGTTCTGCATCAACTTCACTTCTTTCAATTTTCTGTAAATTGAAAAGTTTGATCACTTCATCTTCATCATTTGATCCATTGCTTTTCAAGTTTCCATCTTCATCAAATACAACATGAATGCTTTCTTCAATGCATTGAGTTCTTTTGTTGAATATTCTGTATGCTTTACTCGATGAAGAATATCCAACAAACACTCCTTTATCACTTCTAGGATCAAATTTTCCCCGATCATCCTTTCCATTGTTCAACACAAAACATCTACACCCAAATGCCCTAAGATATTTCAGCATAGGCTTTCTGTTGTTGAGCAGCTCATAGGGGGTCTTATTCAAAACATCTCTTATCAGACACCTGTTGGTAACATGACAAACTGTGTTGACAGCTTCAGCCCAGAAACTTTGAGGAAGGTTTGACTCAATAATCATGGTTCTGGCAATGTTCACCAAGGTTCTATTTTTTCTTTCCACCACTCCATTTTGTTGAGGAGTTCTTGGAGCAGAAAAGTTATGACTAGTACCATTCTCCATGCAAAATTGATCCAGTTTTGAGTTCTCAAACTCAGTTCCATGATCAGATCTAATCCCACAAATTACTTGATTCAATTTAGTTTGAATCATTTTGAAGAACACCACCAATTCTTCAGGTGTTTCTGCCTTTGATCTTAGGAATCTTGTCCATGTATATCTTGAGTAATAATCAACTATCACCAAAATTTATTTCTTGCCATTTCTGCTTTGAACCTTCAAAGGTCCACATAAGTCCATGTGCAACAACTCCAGTATTCTTGATGAGGTTACTTCCTTCTTTGGCTTAAAGGATGATCTGATTTGTTTTACGTTGACACAAACTTCACATATTTTATTTTCAGCAAACTTCAACTTTGGCAGACCTCGGACCACGTCCTTAGAAATCAGTTTATTCAATAAAGATGAGCTCACATGCCCTAGCCTGCGATGCCAAAGATCAACATTTTCATTTTGAGCATTAAGACATGTCAGATCATCTCAATGAGACATTTCTAAGTTGGCCACATACATGTTTTTACTTCTGAAAGCAGTGAGAATCACTTTCTTTGTAGTTAGACTAACCATAGTGCACTTCTCAGAAGTAAACTTGACTTCATTTCCCTTGTCACAAATTTGAGAAACACTTAAAAGACTGTACTTCAACACATCAACATGATACAAATTGTCAATTGATTCTTCAAGAGACTTTCCCACTTTACCAACTCCCAAAATGTACCCTTCTTTCCATCACCAAAAGAGACACCTCCTCCTTGAAGTGTATTGAGTGAGAGGAAATTTTTGATGTCACCAGTCATATGTTTAGAGCATCCACTGTCCATATACCAACATTGACTGCTGCTCCTCTCACTCACCTGCACCAAGAATCACTTGTTTAGCTTGGGAACCCATTTCAATTTGAGTTCCCAGAAGGCAGACAAAGGAGTGATCAGATTGTATCTAGTCCAATAGGACAGTTTTTGAAACTTTCTAACAAAGGACATTGGAGCAGAGACATATTTTTTCTTTAAAAATCTATCAGTTGAAACATGTTTTGGAGGACCAGGTCTCTCTTTTGATACTTTTTGCCTTTCACGTATAATTGGAGAGTCTTTCATGAGAATTTCTCCAGCCTATACACTCTCCCTTTAAGTGACCATTTTTACCACAGTGAAGACAAAGCAGATTGTCAGACACAAATACATACTTGCTGTGAGGGTTAAAAGAAGGAGTGATATTCAAGCTTCCTAGGCCTTTCTTATTGAAATTACTCTGATTTGTTGCATTTGACAACAACTTAGAGGATTTTGTCCACTTAAAGAGATTTTTCAAGTTCTTCCTTAAGTTTGACAATATCCTTTTCTAATTGGTTGCTCTTCTCTAAAGCCAATCCTAGATTTTTCTCAGTAGTGTTTTCAGTTTTTCTTCAGTTTCAACTTGTAAACCATTTGACCTTCCATTTAGCTTTTCAGCTTCTTCAGTTATCTGATTCAACTGTTTTTTAAGTTCAGTGTTGTCAGACTCTAGAGACACCATTTTTGACATTTTCTCCTCCAATTTAACCTTGTTTTCAGTTAAACTGTCAAGTTCAGCATTCATAATGTCTCTTTCAGAGTTTAAATCAATTACTGAATCAATCATAACATTTTCTAATGTTCTTAATTTTTAAGAGAATAATTATTCACATCATGTTTCATATCGAGAAGAGGTACCTTGTCATCCTCTTCTTCATTTTCTGTATGAGCCATGAAAGCAAACATTTCATTGAATATGGTTTCCTCTTCATGAACCACCACCATAGACACATCATTTGGTTCATCAGGATCTTCTGAGTCACTTGAAGAGTCTCCCCATGTAGCAAGAGCCTTTTCGACCACATAGTCAGCAACAACTTTGCAATCATTTTTACTGAGTACCAGGTCCCTTCTCTTCTCTTTGTCACTTCTTGGTTTTTGATATTCCTTGTTTGCAGTTTTGAGTAGAGGACACTCTCTAATAAAGTGCCCAACTTTTCCACACTTGTAGCAGGTATCATTTTGAGTAGCATTTCGAGGACCATTTGTTCCTTTTCTAAAACCTTTGTTTTTTTTCACAATTTTTTGAAATCTATTGATGAGATAAGTCATATCATCATCACTGGAGTCTTCATCAGATTTGTATTTCAGCATCAATGACTTATTCTCTTTGATTTCTTTCTTTGACAAATCATGATTTCGATTCATCTCATGAGTCTTCAGATTTCCAATGAGAGCATCCATTGTCAGCACCTTCAGATCTTTAGCTTCAGTAATGGCATCAACCTTGCTTTCCCAGGACTTTGGAAGAATTCGAAGCACTTTCATGACTTGCTTGCTCATACTGATAGGTTCCCCAAGACTTCGCAACTCATTGGTAATATAAGACAATTTTGTGAACATGTCATGAATGGTTTCTCCTTCCTTCATCTTGAAGTTTTCATACAAAGAGGTAAGCATATCAATCGTTGATTCTTTGACTTGTTCAGTTCCTTCATGAGCTGTTTTTAAAAAATCCCAAATTTCTTTAGCAGACTCACAAGTTGAGACACGATTGAACTCATCAGGTCCTATCCCACAGACAAGAAGAGTTTTTGCCTTGTAGCCTTTTTCTATCTTCTTTCTATTAGCTTCATCATATTATTGTCTAGGATTTGGAACAAACTTGGTTTTCTCTCTATCCTTTTCTTCTATCATCGGAATAAACGGCCCAACTAGTACGACATCCCACAGCTCACTGTTTTCAGCCATGAGGAAATCATACATTCTAACTTTCCACCAACTGTAGAAATGTCCATTGAAACGAGGAGGTCTTGTTGAAGATAGACCTTCTTCTAGATTAAGTGGAGCAGCCATTCTAGAACAAATATCACTTCCTTGGGGTTAACCAAATAGAGAGTGCCCGCTCTGATACCACTTGATAGAATATGTGCCTTCACTTATCAGTCAATGGACCAGGTCCCTTGACACACTAATAAGTATAAACAGAAAGTAAATGCAGTTTAAACAACACAATGATTTTACGTGGAAACCTTCTTGCTTAAGGGAGTA